TCGATCTCACTATCGATCTCACTCAACGGGACACCACGGGACACCACGGGACACTTGTCGATCTCACTATCGATTTCACTATCGACTCACTCAACGAGACACCACGGGACACCACGGGACACCTCTCGATCTCACTATCGGTCTCACTATCGATCTCACTCAACGGGACACCACGGGACACCTTGGGCCACCACGGGCCACCACGGGACACCGCGGGACATCTCTCGATCTCACTATCGGTCTCACTATCGATCTCACTCAACGGGACACCACGGGACACCACGGGACTCCTCGGGACACCACATCGATCTCACTATCGATCTCACTCAACGTGACACCACGGGACACCGAGGGACACATCGGTGCACCACATCGATCTCCGTATCGACCTCACTATCGATCTCACTCAACCGGACACCACGGGACACCACGGGACACCTGTCGATCTCACTGTCGATCTCACTATCGGTCTCATTCAACGGGACACCACGGGACACCACGGGTCACCAGGGGCCACCACGGGACACCGCGGGACACCTCTCGATCTCACTATCGGTCTCACTATCGATCTCACCCAACGGGACACCACGGGACACCACGGGACACCTGTCGATCTCACTGTCGATCTCACTATCGATCTCCCTTTTTGGGACACCACGGGACACCTTGGGGCACCACATCGATCTCACTATCGGTCTCACTATCGATCTCACTCAACGGGACACAAGAGGACACCACGGGACACCACGGGGCACCTGTCGATCTCATTATCGATCTCACTATCGATCTCACTTTTTAGGACACCACGGGACACCACAGGACACCTCGGGGCACCACATCGATCTCAATATCGATACCGGGACGGGACACCGCCCGGCCCAACCGGCCACCGGCGGACGGGAAAGGACGCCAGGGACATCCGGTACACCCGGGACACCGCCCAGCCCAACCGGCCACCGGCGGGACACCGCTGGCCCCGAAGGCCGGGTCGCCAAACATTTCGTCTGGCCGCGCCTCAGCCACATGAGACTTTCCTCTCGCCCGCTCACGCAGCTTCGCCTCGCCCGCACGCACGGCACGCACGAACACGAAACCGAAATCGATTTCCCGGTAGGGGGGCTCTCCGTTCCACTTCGATCTCACACCCCAACCTCCGATATCTTTTGCAAGCGTAGCGAAGCTGCCTGGCGAACTTTTAAACAAGAAATGTTGTAACGCCCATTCTTCTCAAGTGCCCTCGGTGCCTCTCTCAGGGCGTCTCCTGGGGCGAAGATTTCGGGTTCTCGGTTCATGTTCCCGATCCTAGGCCGCGGTTGGGGCCCTCTCGGGCTGTCTTGGACGTCTCTTCGGCGCTTTTGAAGCCTATAAGGCCGTCGTGGCGCGCTTTTGAAGCCTGTTAGACCGTCTTGGGGCGACCCTCAGAGCCTCTTGGGGCGTGTTGCAGCATCGGGAAGCGGAACAGGCGGAAACGTTCAAAAAGCAATGGAAAATGTTGTTTTGCCACTTCGAGCTCTGTTGGGAGACCTCTTGAAAGCCTCTTGGGTACCTTGAGGCCTCTTGGGCCGTTTGGAGGCCGTCTTGGACCATGAAGTGGCCTTCGGCCCATCCCGCCACGGAGTGCCTGGGTTGTGGGTTAGAGGCCTTTCCGAAGTTCGTTTGGGATTCGTGGGAGGGTCCCCAGGGACCTCTTGAAGGCAGGTTTGGAAGCCTTTTGGGGGCCGTTTGGGTGCTCTTGGGGCGTCTTGTTGGGTCTCTTTGAGGCCTCGTGGGGCCTCTAGGGGTCCTCTTCTCTAGCGCTCTCTTGGGGGCATCTTGGGACCTCCTGGGGGCCTCTAGGGGCGGAAGGCTCGAATTGTCGGTTCGTGTTCCCCGTCTTGGGCCCCTCTCGGGGCCGTCTTGGGGCCCTCTTGGGCGATCTCGGGCGCCTCTTGGGCCGTCTTGGGGCTCCCTTGCGCCGTCGTGGCGCCCCCTTTGGGTGCCTGTTAGACAATCTTGAGCTGATTTCTGGGGCCTGGTGAGCTGTCTTGGGCCGTCGGAAACACGAACGGTGCAGTCCCGGTCTCGCTCGGGCCTCGATCCGCAGGAAGACCTCTCCGGACCCCTTTGGGCGACCGACCTCTTGGAGGCCAGCCTATGCATTTTAAGCCATCTTGGGGCCTCGTTTGGGCTTTCGGGGGGTCTCTTAGGGATCTCTTGGGGCCTCTTGGGGACTTTTGGGGCCTCCTGGGAGGCTCTTTGGGCGGCTGCAGCTTTCGAGACGGAGCTCCCCTCTTGGACCCCTCCTGGAGCCGACTTCGTCGGCCCTTGGGCCGTCTTGGCGCCCTCTTGGTCTATCTTTGGGGCCTCTTGGGAGCGTCTTCGGTTCGCTTGGGAAGTCTTGAGTGCCTCTTGGACCGTCTTCAAAGCCGTGAAGGCCCCAAAATCGCACATGCTTAAAACATACGTTTCGCCGACAGGAATGTAGCACATATGGTCTCTTCAGATCCTCTTGGGAGTGCCCTTGGAGGCATCTCAGAACCTTCTTAACCTTCTTGGACCATCTTGGGGCCATCTTGGGCAGTCTTGGGCGACTCGGGGCTTTTTGGGGCCTTCTTGGGGCCCGTTTTGGAGCTAACCTGGGCCGTCTTGGGCAGCCCTTGGGCCGTCTTGGCCCCCGCTTGGGCTGTCTTGAGGGCCTCTTGGGAGTGTCTTGGGCTCTCTTGGGCAAGTCTTGGGAGCCTCTTGGGCCGTCTTCAAAGCCGTGAAGGCCGAAAAATCGCACATGATAATGTCGTTTTTTTTTTCGGCGCCTGAATGCAGGCCTTTTCTGGACCCGAAGAGTGTGAAAAGACAGCTGGGGATGAAAAGCAGGTCCTGGTGAAGGGCCGAGCGGGTCCAACAAATCAAGCTGCGGAAGTCTGGGTGAGATGCCTGGACAACTGAGCGACAACGAAAAACGGGGTCGTACGCACGAGGATCCGGCGACCTTGCGCGATGGCCTATGCGGGCAGCCCACTCGGCAGACCAAGCGAAGAATGGCGCGCCTGCGTGCGACTTTATACGCGGGCAACCTGGGCATGAATGTCCACGCAATCAAGCCTCATTTTTGACATCGCTCATCTGTCGCTCAGTGGCACCCCTTTCCGCTCACGGATGACACCCTTCTCCGTCCCCCGATGACCCCCCTTTCCGCAACAGGATGATCCTCCTTTCCGCCTCCGAGGCGCTCTACGTGGCCAAGGCTGGCTTCGTCTCGAAATTCTTGTCCAAACGCACCCCTGCTGGGCATCGCAGTTGTTCTTGTTGCATCTTGGGCTGTCTGGGAAGCCTCTTGGGCCTCGGGAGCGTCGGAGGGGTCTTGCGAGTTACGTGGGGTTCCCTGTTGAGCCTCTGGGAGCACAGGGCTGGAAATGTTCGTTCGGCCCCCGCCTGGACCGCTGGGCTCTTGGGGGCCTCTTTCCAGCCTCCTGGATGCTGCTTGAGGCCGCTTGGAGGCCTGTTGGGGCCTCGTGGGCTCTCTTTGGGTGCCTCTTGGGGCCTCCTCGGAGCATCCTGGACTGCTTCTTGAAATCGTCATGGGACCTTCTTGGCATGTCTTCGGGGGCCTCCTAGAAAGAGTTTTGAAGCCTTTTGGGTGCCGTCTTGGGGCCTCTTGGAGCCTCTTTTGGGCTTCTTGGGGGCCTCTTGGGGCCTCTTGGGGCCTGTTGGGGTCTCTTTGGGGCTTTGTGGGGGCCTTTTGGAGCCTCTTGGGGGCGTCTTTGGGCGGAGAGCTAGATTTTTCAATTCGCGTCCCCTCTCTTGGGCCCCTCTTGGGGCCGGGACCCTCTTGCGCCGTCTCGGGCGGCTATGGGGCCGTCTCGGGGCTCTCTTGGGCCGTCATGGGGCCCTCTTGGGGGCCTTTTGGGCCGTCTTGGAGCGGTTTGGGGAGCCTCTTGGGCGGTGCTTTAGCGCCGGAAACACGAAACAGCGAGAATGCAAAAAAAAAAAAAAAACAATGTAAATCAACGATTTTGCCCTCTCGGGGCGCTCTTAGGCGGCATCTTGAAGGCCTCTTGGGGCGTCTTGGGGGCCTCCAAGGCAATTTAAAACGCATCGTGCGTCTCGGGGGTGTCTCGAGACCGTCTGGGTCCGGCGGGATTGCTGTCTGAGGGCTCCCCGGGACAGAGGCGGGCCCGGGCCCCGGTACCCACATTTGCGGTCGAGGTTCCGGCCCTCGGCCCCCGAGCCCGGTGCGCCGTTAGATGTATATTGCATTCTATTATCGTCGGCTGACAGAGGATGAGGTAATCTTGCGACCACACATCAACGCCCATCGAAGCTATCGACGTCAAAGCCAACTGTCGAGGTCAATCGAAGTCAAAGCTGATGAGGTCTTTTGACAAGATTATCGAAGCCGAATGCGGCTGCTTCGTCCACTAAGACGGCGCGGACAACGCTTGCCGAACTTGCTAAATCAGGAAGGCTGGCTCGTTGGGCGCTGGGGCCTCCGCCAGAGAGCGGCGATCTGGGCCTCATCTACGTATCTTGGGTTCTCTTTGGACATCTCTCGGAGCCCGGTTGGAGGCCTCGAGGCTTCCTGGGGGCCTCTTGCTCCCGGGGCCTTCTGGTGTCTGTGGGGGCCTGTTGGCGGCCTCGAGGGTCATCTGTTGGCGAAGGGCTCGAAATGGTAGTTCGGGTTTCCCCTCTTGGGCCCATCTTGGGGCCCTCTTGGGAGCTTCTTGGTCGGCCTCTTGGGCACTCGTGGGGCGATGCTCGCGATCTCTTCGGTGGCGATAGCACGTGTTGAAACCAAAAAGGCGAATGTGCTAAACATTCACCAGTTCCTGAAAGGATGTGATGACTGCTGCTTCTCGGGGCACTCTTGGGGGTCCCCTTGCGGCGGTATTGAAGCGTCGTGGACGCCGGCTGGGCCGTTTGAAACGCACCTTGGGCTGCCGGAGACCCCTGGAGGCCGTCTTGGGGGTGATCGGGGCCGTGCTGGGCAGCCTGCACAGCTGCCTGATGGCTCTCTCGGCCGATTCTGGTTTTGGGTACAGGCTCCCCTGGCCAAGTCACCGTCATATGCATGAATTACAACCTGCCCGAAGAGGCGGGCGAAGGGAAAATGGTGCACAGTGCACCGCCTGCGGGTTACAACGGACTTACTGTAAACTGCAGTCAAGAAGAGCAGAGCGTGTCCAGCGACACCAGAATGGGTCACCAAATGCTGAGCGAATGTGTTTCGCTCATCTCGGGTGGACAACGACTCGCGCCGCCCGCCGAGGGCCCTCAGGCGGCGGGCCACGGTGGGGCTGCGGCCGGCGAGGCCTCGGCCGCGAGGGGGGGGCCCTCCCCGCAGATCCTGCAGTCGGAGCTGCAGAAGCCCATGAGGTGCTCGCACAGGATGCCGTCCGGGTGCCCGGCCTGCTCGCCGAGATGCCGCCGCTTGAGACGGTCGCGCCTCTGCGCAGCGCGCTGCCTGGGGCCGGCGTCCGCGCCCGCCTCGGGGGTGCCCGGGCTTGGCTCGTAGTAGAAGACCGAGAGGGCCACGCTCTCGTGGACGCCTGAGAGTCCCGAGGCCTCACGCTTGAGCAAGGCCTCATCTGAGGCTGCCGTGGCCACCGAATCGTCAAGCACGCGGCGGTCCACCTGAGCTGAAGATGCCGTTGACACCGTATCGGCGGTCTCGCAGCGGTCCATCTGCGTCCCAGCATGTCGACGACACGCCGAGAGCACGCCCGAGTCGGACCCCAAAAACGTGGCGATGTGTACCATTACGATGCGACAAAAAGTTGCAGAAGAGACGCCGCAGGTCGAGGTGCTTCGAGCTTGAGCCAGAATCGCTGCAGATATGTACTGCCCGATTGTGGAAGGTCTTGGCAACGCCGAGTGCGTAGTGCCTTACCCAGGGATTGGCACGATACACTACAGGACTAAGACCAGAGCGCGCGCTTCGCGCGCGCTCAAGCTCTACTTGCCATGCGGCCAAACGTAAAGCGCGCCAGGGGGGCCGTGTCCGCATGATCGGATCCTTGGCCTGGAAGCCGACGCGTTGGTTTCTGAAGTCGCACTGAGGCTTGGTGTTCGCGGCATTCCTGGATCATCATTGGGCGATCTTGCAACTCTCTTCGGGACCATTGGGGCCTCCGAGACCATCTTGGAACCACACTTTCGCAACAGATAGGAAGTCCATGAATGACAGGAAAACACGCTGGAATCCCACCATCCCTCTGGGCGTAGATGGTTTAGGGGGTTTCCTCTTCCAACCTCCTTCGTCCCCTTCGGGGACGGGTTCACCCCTCCCCTGGAGCTGGACGGGGGGTTCCGCGACGCGTTGGAGCGTCCAAATTCAATGGTTTTACTATGGTTTTGGCCCCATTTTGGCCTCCTGGGGGGGGCTAATCCCACCAGCCCTTTGGGCGTGAGTGGTTTAGCGAGCTCTCTTTGTTCTCACCCCCCCTTGTTCCCCTTCGGGGAGGGGTTTACCCCTCCCCCTACCCCCTCCCCCTGGGCCTGGAGAGGGCGTTCCGCGGGTCGTTGGAGGGGTCTTTTTCGACTCCTGGGAGGGCTAAAATTCGACACCCCTCACGAGTATTCTGGCCCCGACGGGGGGAGGTAGAAAAGTGTTCGCCCCATCAGTGATCGATCGCCCGACAGATGGCCCCAAGATTCCTCCCAGACCCCTCCCAAAGAGCCCCAAGAGGCCCCAAGAGGCCTCCAAGAGGCCCCCAAGATGCCCCCAAGAGGCCCCCAAGAGGCCCCAAGAGGCTCCCCCGAGGCACCCAAGACGCTCCTGGAAGCCCCTGGAGCCGCGAAGAGGCCCCCAAGACGCCCCAAACGGCCTCCAAGAGGCTCCGAAGAGGCTCCCCCAAACCTCACGCCAGAGTATATCGGAACCCAGGAAGTCGCGAGGACATCCCAAGCGAACCTAACTCTACAACCTTACACGCGGCATCTCGGAGCCTAGACTTGCGACGTCGTCGCAGGCGAAGCTGGAAAGAAAATGTCACGCGGCATCTCCGAGCCCAGAATTGCGAGAATGTCAGTGCGGACATTGGCTGGGCCGCCTCGCGCACTGCATCTCCGAGCCCTAATGTTTCTGGGAGAACTGGCTGGACCACCTCGCGCGCGCTGCATCCAAGAACCCAAAGATGCGGGGACACAGGCATATCCGAGCCCGCAATTGTGAGAATGTGTCGGAGCTGTGGTCCCTACCCCCCTGGAGTAACCATCAGATCCAAGATTTGCTTTCCTGGTGCCCCCGCTCTCTCGATGAGCGCGACCAGCGCGTCGGCCATCGCTCCGGGGGTCGTTGTGCACGCAGAGAGTGGAACATTTTGAACTGAGCCATCACGCGGTTTGTTGGGCGCGGCTCGCACAAACTGACAGACATTGCCTGCTCGGCTGCGTCGCGCACGCCGCGCCAAACGAGCGCCCCCCACAGCGCAGGCGCGATTACATGTTATCGGCGCGCACGTGCCAGTGTCAGATGGCAGTTCGCTCGCGATTCCGAGTGTCGCGGGCGATCGCCTGAACTTAGTTGCCATCGGCTTGCAAGTTCGGTTCAGCATGCGCTCCAGTCCGCGCAATGCCACCCCGATTCGTAGCGCCTGGATGCGGAGCGCCGCCGCTAGGTCCGCCAGGGCCTGCAGCCGCGAAGTCAGAACCCCGTTTCGCAGGAACTTGGTTACAGAAATTGGCAACTCATCCGAAATTTTTCTCGGCGCATTCAAGAGCGCGCTGCTTTATGTTAGGCGATGACGGGCGTCATGGGGGGGGGAAGGCGGGGGGGGTATGACGTGACGCCACCCCCCCGCCGTGTGGCTCCGGCACCACAGCCGCGCCCGCGCGGACGACGCGACGAGCGACGAGCGACGAGCGACGACGACGACGCGGGCAGCATGTAAGTGGCGATCTGCCCACTGCGCCTGTGTAGACCACAACGCTCGCGTGCACCACACCGCGCGTGTGCACCACAGCGCCTGCGTACACCGCAACAGCCGTGTGCAACGCACCGCCCGTGAATACCACAATAATTGGGAGCACGACAGCGCTGGTGCACATAAACCGCAGCAGCCATGTGCAACACAACGCCTGTGTACACCACTGTGCTTGCGTGCGCCGCAGCGCCTGTGCACGCCACGGCGCCTGTCTACACCACAGCATCCGCGTGCAACGCAGTGCTGGTGTACAACATTGCGCGCGTGCATAGGACAGGTACAAGGAGCATGTACGTCAGGATCTGCGCGGACAACGAAACGCCACGCCAGGAAAGTTCTGAGAATCGAATGCGGCGTTTTTCCCTCCTCCCTCCTCCTCCTCCTCCTCTTCCTCCTCCTCCTCCTCCTCCTCGTCCCCCTCCTCCTCTTCCTCCTCCTCCTTTTCCTCCTCCTCCTCCTCCTCTTCCTCCTCCTCCTCCTCCTCTCCCTCCTCTTCCTCCTCCTCCTCCTCCTCCTCCTTTTCCTCCTCCTCCTCCTCCTCCTCCTCCTCCTTCTCCTCCTTCTTACCCCCTGTCGTGCGGCTTGGCGTTGCAACGCACGTGCGCATCTCAGAGTGCACCGCAGAATGGTCGATTGAATCGGTCCATTTGCTTCGCGGACGGCCAGTTTAGCAGGAGCCCCCTGGACGCAGATGGGAGTTAGGGTGACGCGGGCGGACTCGGGGGGACTCGTAGATTCCAGGGGCGCTCTTTCGTCCATGAGGATTTGTTTTTCCCCACATCCTGAGTGGGGTTCTTGTTTTCCCAGAACACCCTCTCCTTCCCACCCACCTCCCGCTCCATCTTCCATACAGCACAATATTATTCCTACCACACACACCATACCATACCATAGTTCCTACCACACATACCATACCATACCATACCATACCATACCACCATACGTACCATACCGTACCATACCATACCATGGCGTACCATAGCATACCATACCATATCACACCAATGCCACACCGTACCATACCATACCACACCTCCAGTACCATACCATACCATATCATACCATACCGTACCATACCATACCTACCATACCATTCCATACCACTCCATACCGAAAACCATACTACCCGCCTGAGCAAGGAGGGTATCGGAAAACCATATTATTTACATGGTTTCGTGCCCCCTCCCACCCCTGCAGGGAGGCCCCGCGCGAGGAGGGTATCGGAAAACCATACTATTTCCATGGCTTCGTGCCCCTCCCACCCCTGCAGGGAGGCCCCGCCTGAGCGAGGAGGGTATCGGAACACCATACTATTTACATTGTTTCGTGCCCCTCCCACATCTCCACGGAGGCCCCGCCTGAGCGAGGAGGGTATCCGAAAACCATACTATTTACATGGTTTCGTGCCCCTCCCACCCCTCCAGGGAGGCCCCGCCTAAGCGAGGAGGGTATCGGAAAACCATATTATTTACATGGTTTCGTGCCCCTCCCACACCTCCAGGGACGCCCCGCCTGAGCGAGGAGGGTATCCGAAAACCATACTATTTACATTGTTTCGTGCCCCTCTCACCTCTCCAGGGAGGCCCCGCCTGAGCGAGGAGGGTATCCGAAAACCATACTATTTACATGGTTTCGTGCCCTTCCCACCTCCCCAGGGAGGCCCCACCTCTCCAGCTTTTCCTTCGTGCTGATGTTGTCGTACCCCGTGGGTCCCACGAGACCGTTAATATCTTTATGTGGGGAACTCCGTTAGCATAATCCATTGTTCTCCCTGGAATCCACACGCGCTCCATTTGTCACAAGGATTCCTTCTGAATGTATGTACACAACAATGGTGCTGTGTCGCACACGGCCGATGTGGTGCACACGCGCGCCGTGGCGTACACAGGCACTGCAATGCACGCAGGCATTGTGGTGTGCACTGGTGCTGTGTTGCGCACGGCTGATGTGGTGTACGAAGGCGCTGTGGTGTACACAGGAGCTGCTGTGCCCGCAAGCGCGGTGGCACAAACTGACGTTGTCTTGCACGCGGCTGCTGTGGTGTACATCGGCGGTGTTGTGTACACACGGGCTGTGGTGCACGCGGGCACTGTGAAGTACACAGGCGTTGTGGTGCAGATCGCCACCTACATGTTCGTGCTACCCGTCCTCCGTCACTCCTAAGCATTCCCAGACGCCGCCGGCGCGAAACGTGACGTCATCGACCCCCTCCCCCCCCAGATGATTGCCGTCATCGGCCTGGACTTAAAAACAGGTTCCAGCCGCGTCCGCGCGCACAACGACGATGAGCGACGAGCGACGATACACGAGCGACGACGGCGGACGACGACGACGACGACGACGACGACGACGACGACAACGACGACGACGACGCCTGCGGACCAGACACCTATGCGGATTCCTACGCGGACACCTAATTACGCGGATCCCAATGCGCACGGCGGCAGTGCCCGGAGCGCACTGGGGGGGGGGGAGCATCACGTCATAGGGGTAGGGGGGGAGCAGGGGCCATGACGCCCGTCATGCCCCAAGCAATAAAGAAACGGGCTCCAATGCCTGCGAAGTTCGCGCGCGCGGGAATTCCCGATCGGTGACTCGCGCGCGGCCAAGGCAGTGCCAGATGAATCTGTGCCTCCGTGCTGCGCGGAGGCGCGGTCGATGGGCTGCGCGGGCGCGATCAGGGAGAGCGTTGAACGCGCTGCGGGTGTAGGAACTTGGCGCAGTAGCTGGCGTCGAAGCGGGGGGCGATCGTTCTGCCTGTTCCTCCGCCTTCGGGCAGCGTCTCCGATCGGCCAGGGGTCACCGTGTATGGAGGCCACAAGTTGGGGACGTGTCCGCCGTCAATCGGCATAGGGCATGGGGGCGCCCTGGCCCGTTGCCACCAGACGGCGGGCACTGGCATAGG